TGTCACATGACAGATGGTATGAATCAAATAGATACTTATTGGGAATGGGGGAAGATCTTAGAAAATGTCTGCCCATCTTAAGTTTTTGTAAACAAGATTTTCTTCCAGCTAATGATGAAGAGCACAGTACCCATAAAGATTGGCCCAAGTCATCATCTTCACCCTCCTTCCAGTCACTGGCCTGGGGGTGGAGGGTGGGTAAGAGATCACCCTGGGCAAGGAGTAACATTCTATTGTGACCTTTATTTTTGTAAACAAGATTTTCTTCCAGCTAATGATGAAGAGCACAGTTGTCCTGTTTCCCTCAAGAGAGGGACTTGGACAGCAGGCGAAGCAAGCAGTTGCTGGGCCAACGCTATGTGGGTTCTTTCCTTGTCCTCTGGGCTGCCCTTGCTGTGGTGCACCCTCCTCTAACGCTGGAGAGGACCTAGGATCCATATGGTTAGGACTGCTTCCTAATCAAGGCTAAGCCCGCGGGAAGGGAAAGACTGTATTTCTCCTTTGTTTCCCAGTAACAATAGACAGTAACATTGTGTGCGTGTGTTCTCAGAACAGCCCACTTCACTTGTGCCCAGAAAGAGAACAGGATGCTAACAAAGGACTTTATGAATCAAAACCTGCTCAGGCATCCTAGCAAGTTTGGAGAATATGTGAATATCCTTTGGGAGAGTACAGGAGAATGATCTTTACATTGGAGGTTTGTTTTTGTAAATCAAGAATGCTTTATGTTTTGTTTTGTTTTTGCAGTACTGGGGATTGAATGAATCCAGGGCATTCACATAGGGTTATATCAACACCCAATGTATGTATGTATGTATGTGTGTGTGTGTGTGTGTATGTATTTGAGACAGCCTCACTAAATCACTAAATTACCTAGGCTAGGCTTGAACTTGTGATCCTTCTGCCGCAGGCTTCCAGAGTGCTGGGATCATAGGTGTGCACTACCCTAACCCTAATTTTTTAAAATAAAGTTTCTGTTTATTTTTTTCTTTTTTTTTTTTTTTTTTTTTTTTTTTTGTTTTTTTTGTCTTTTCTTCCGGTACTAGGAATCGAACTCACGACCTTGCGCTTGCCAGGCAGGCGCTTTGCCACTGAGCTAAATCCCCAGCCCGTAAAGGTTCTGTTTAAATTATAGTTCAAGATTATTTTTCAAAAGAGAAAGTACTTTCATTTGTTTAACAGTGACTTTCAAAAAGGACCTCAAGATATACAATCAACCCTCATTGATTTTAGAGTATACTACTACGTAATTAACAGGCCGGGCATGGGGGCGCATGCCTGTAATCTCAGCACTTGGGATGCTGAGGCAGGAGGATCACTGCGAGTTCGAGACCAGCCTGGGCTATGAAGTGAGTTCAAGGCCAGCCTGAACTGCACAGAGAGAGACCCTGTCTCAAAAAACCAAAAAACAAAAAAAAGTAACCTACAGATATTTTTTTCTTAAACATTTCAATAATTGTTGTATAATGAAATATGGTATATTAGGAAATTTAAACCAAGTAAATAAGCATGTGTTAGTGGTTTTTTTTTTTTTTTCAATTGTTTGATTGCCATATATATGGTCTTTTTGAGATAAGGTCTCACTCTGCAGTGCAGGCTGGCCTCGAACTCGCAATGATCCTCCTGCCTCAGCCTGCAGAGTGCTGGGATTACAGGGGTGCCCTCTCTCTCTGTCTCTGTCTCTGTCTCTCTCTCTCTATATATATATATATATATATTTTTTTTTTTTTTTTTTCTTTTTTTGGTACTGGGAATTGAACTCAGAGAACCTTGCTCTTGCCAAGCAGGAGCGCTTGTGCCGCTGAGCTATATCCCCAGCCCATTTTTTTAAAGTCTGTACTGGGATTGAATCCAGGGCCTCACAGATGCTAGGCGAGTGCTTTATTGAGCTATGTCACCAGCCCTACTTTGGGATTTTTGAAGGATAGTATAAGCTTCTTTTCAAATAGCTCTTTCAATGATAAGGTCCAATTTCCTTCACATAGAAAATCTCTCTCTAGACTCCCGCTTCCAGAATGGTGAGCTAGAGGATTTAACTTAGGTCCATGCCTTCCAGACAGGAGAGCTGGCTGAAACAGAAAGAAGCTGTGAGGGCACTAAAGAGCTAACCAGACCTACCTGCCCGAGATCTAGAAGGAGGAAGCCCAGGAAGCTGCTTGTGCCCTGGGCGCTCGTGCTAATTCCAGTAGGGAAACGGAACTGAGAGGCCAGGTAGCGTTTTTCACAGCCTTGCCAAACTAAGGAACCTATCAAGGAAATGAAGGAAGTCGTGGAGTTTTACCCCAAATGGCCTCATCCTACAGCCAGAATTCGACTCTCCCAAGAGCTACAATAGCTCATCTTAATCGGAATCATTTCAATCGGGGAACTCAGGTTAAGTAAATCCCAGTGTGCTAAGGCTGCCGTGCATCCCAAACTGCTGACATTCCCAGGCATCATCCTGAAGCAGACGTAAATCTTCTCTGGAGGAAAAAAAATCCATGCATCAAATTATTTCTACAGGGGCTGGGGATGTAGCTCAGCGGCACAGCGCCTGCCTGGCAAGTGCAAGGTCGTGAGTTTGATTCCCAGTACTGGAAAAAAAAAAACAAAAAAGGAAAAAAATTATTTCTACAAACAATGTTGCAGCCACGATGTCTAGTATTCAGTGAGAATAATGAGACACATAAGGAAAGATGCCATAAAACTTTTTTTAAAAAAAACCCAGAAAATAGGAACAGATTCACACTAGCTACCGATACTAGAATGATGAGATGCATACTCTAAAATACTTAGCTTTCCTATGTCCAAAGAGATAAAAGAAAGAGTTGATTTTTGGGGGCAGAAAACTGGCAATTATTCTGAAGAACCAAGTAAAACTTCTAGAATGTAAGAAATACAGTAATACCAATTAAGATTGCAGCCCTTGGGGGCTGGGGATTTAGCTCAGCGGCAAAAGCGCCTGCCTGGCAAGCGCAAGGTCGTGAGTTCGGTTCCCGGTACTGGAGAAAAACCAAAACCAAAACCAAAAAAAAAGATTGCAGCCCTTGGATTTAACAGTGGGTTAGACAACCATACAGGGAGAATCAATGAGCTAGAACATAGATCAGTAAACTAAAACTTGTAGACCAAATCTGTCCTGTGCCTGTTTTTGAATGACCCTGCCAGGTAATGATGGTTTTTGCATTTTTAGAGTTAATATAAGAGTATGTGATAGAGACAATATTTGGCCTGCAAAGCCTAAAATCTTTATTATCTATTACCTGGCACTTAATGGAAAAAGTATGCCACCACACAAACTAGAAGACAGGTCAGCAGAACATATAAAAGACTCTAAATAGAAAGCTGAGAAGGCCCCAGCCTGTACTGTGCCCCGCGTGTGAGACTGTTACTCTGGCTGGTCTTGACCTTTCATTTATTCATTCAGTCAATACATATTCAATCAGTTCCTACCTCAGTGCTCAACTTCATGGTTAGACCTGGCTTTAAGTACTCACTTAGCGTCTTCCTGGAGAGAAAAGGGAGACAGTCATGAGGTCCCAAAGCCACCATGCGGATCAGGCACTCAGCACAGTATTTGTTCATAACGGACACTCGCTAAGGTCAGGTAGTACTGTTAGCGAGGGTGTGCTCAGGCGTACTGACCATGCTCCGAGTTAATTATGAGTTGCAGAAGGTCCCCTTGGCGGCTAAGGTGGGAGTGAGGTCGAAGGAACTAAGATAGGGTAGCAAAGTAAGGAGAGCGGGACCATCCTGAACGTGAGGGGTGCAGGAACTCACGCAACTTTTATATGATCTTCCTTCCCACAGACATTTGCCTACATGTGAAATACAGTTAAATAGATATCATCAATAAAACGTATTTATAACGGCTTAAGATTGGAAATAACCAAAATCCCCAACAATGGGAAATGGTCCAGATGGTCCAGTGGAACTAGTTAATGATATATTTGGTGTAAGTAATATAAAACGGTGCAAAATACCTCAAAGCGTATTTTTCAAAAAAATTAAAAACTCACATACAAAGAATGAACACTTGTCAGAGAATTCTCTGATTTATTGGTAGGTGCATCAGTGAGATCATATAGCTGGTTCAAAGGGCATTTAATGAACTGGGCATTTCTAGGCATTAATAAAAAAGAACATAAAAATAAGGGCTATGCAAGATGTAAAACTGATTAGTGAGTCATAGAGCAATAAAACCATAACCTTTCGGGTTATCTTTTCTACCAGACAGAAATAATCTACAAGTTAATATATAACTTCACAGTGTCTGGGTTCTAATCAGATAGTAAATAACCAAGTCAAGCACAGATACATTCTCCCAGAGAATTAAATACTGCCATTCTGTTGTATAATTTTCCCAGTATGACACTGAAAGAACACAGCTCCTTCTCCTTGCATTATTTCCAAAGTTTCGGGTATTTTTTCTTAACAAGTAAGTACCAGTTATATAAACTATATTGTAGGTCAGCATATTAGTCAGTGTTCTACCACAAAATTGATGCTGTATCGAAAGATTTAACTAAGGAGCATTTAATAAACAGATTGCTTCAAAGAAGTGGGTAGGGTTAAGGAGACACAAAGAGAAAGGTTGAGGTCTCCAGACACGAGTCACAGAGGGAAACCCTTACTATTCTTAGATCTGAAGCGACGAGAAAAAGCAGGAATGGAACAAATACCAGATGTTTCCCTCCTTCTCCCCCTAATCAGACAGTGCTTCCTACCGGCTCAGCCCCACTGGATGTCAAGCGGACAGAGGCCGCCAATGTCATCTGGCCCCTAGAAACAGAACACACTGAGCGGTAGGAAATGAGACGCAAATAGAGAATTGTCAGCTCAGTCACTACGGCAGGTATTGTTTTGAATGGAGTCGTGTCTCATGCAAAAAGATATACGGGAGTCTTCAACCTTAGTGCGTCAGAATGTCACCTCGTGTGGAGACAGGATCCTTACAAAGGTAATCGACTTCAAGTGAGATCACGAGGTGGATTTTAACCAATGCAACTGTGTCTTTATAGAAAGGGGAAATGTAGACAGTGAGAAAGACCTGCATAGAGGGAAAACAGCGTGACAAGACACACACACGGGGAACTGTCCATTTGCCAGCCAAGGATAGAGGGCTTGAGCACATCCTCCCTCGGAAGCCCTCAGAAGGTACCAACTCTGCCATCACCTTCAGTTTGGACTTCCAGCCTCAGAACGATGAGACGATAAATTGCTGCTTAAGCCACTTGGTCTTCCGCTCTTTGTTACTGCAGCCCTAGCAAACTAACATAGGTATGTAAAAACGACACACAAAAAGAGGCCCTGCATGAAAACTTGAGTGCCATCGCTGTGAAGGGGTATTATAGGTGATTTCTAGTTTTTAAATTTCCTAATACTTTTATATCAGAACAAATGAATAGCTGTGTTTAAAACTATAGGCAAGAGAAGGAGGAAGTCACACTTGGCAGCCTGAGGGGGTGCGGCAGGGAGGGGCGAGCTCGGTGATATAGCCGGAAGGTCATTGGGCAGATTATCTGTATTCCAAGGGCATGTTTCCTTGCCCCGCACTGAGCCCCAGGCTTTCTGTCTGCATGTCACAGGCCTGGCTTTTGTCTTCTGTCCATAGCTCTGTCCCGCAGGTAAGCCCTTTACAGCTCGGTTCCCCATCCTAACCGCCCAAGACTGACTAGAAAGCCACAGTTTAATACATAAGCCTACTTTATTTAATATTATGTGGTTGATCCTTACTAACCGGAAGAATTTATTTTTGGAGACATGGTCTCACTGTGTAGTTCAGGCTAAACTTAAACTCACTGTGTATCATGGTTGGCCTTGAACTCACAGCAATTCTCCTGCCTTGGCCTCCTGAATCTGGGGTTACAGGTGTGCATTACCATGCCCAGCTCCAACTGGAAGAATTTAAAGTAAGACAAATTTGCCTGTCACTCTGGAAAATGCTTGCTAAATGAACAAATGGTATAAGGCTTGAGGGATCTTACACAGGTTCTCAGGGCAGGGTGCTTGCTATAGTTTGAATGTGTTGCCCCAAAAGTTCTGTGTTAGGAACTTGCTTCTCAGTACACTAGCATTGGGAGGTGAGGCCTTCATGAGAGGTGGTGAGGCCTTGAGGACTCTATCCTTAAGACTGGATTAATGCCATTACTGCTGAAGTACAGGGTTTCTTATAAAAGGATGAATTTGGCCCTTTGCGTACCTCCCTTTACCTCATTTTGCCCTTCTGCCATGCGATAACAAAGCAAGAAGCCGTTTGCCAGATGCTGGCCACTTGATCTCAGACTTTCTAGTCTCTAGATTCGCAAGCAGTAAATTGCCACTTATAATAAACTACCCAGTCTATAGTGCTCTGTTACAGCACCACAAAATGGACTAAGGCACTGTCAGTCCATGGGTTCCTGATTCATTTCTTAGAAAAATAACTAGAAACACAATTAGGTGTTGGCCTGCTCCTTTTATTCCTTAAAATGACATTTCCCAACCCTTTGCCCTCTTTTGGTACTTTAGTTTTAGGCACTCTTTGTCTCAGATAAATCTCAGCAGATCCTTCCAGAACATTCCTTGGTCTTCTACTGCCCTGTGTCCACGTTGCTCCTTTGGCCTCTTTCTCTGAGACTGTGACTTCCTTGAGGGGAGGGGACATGCCTTGTCCCCTCTAGTCTGACACTAGGGAGTGGTAACCAGATGCTCACTCAAGCCTAAAATATGACATGGGTAAGCTTGGAAAATGGGGCTAGGCCAGGAGATGAGAGTTGTACCTCAGGAAATTGAGCGATGAGCTCTTATTTGTTTTCTTTTTTGTTGTTTGTTTTCTACTGAGCACAAGGAGGCAAAGTGCCCTCAGTCTTGTCCGCTAAAGGATCGCGCTGGTTTTGATGGGAGGAGAAAAGAGTGTTAGACAAATACCTCTTGTTTCCAAACCCTGCGTCCCCTCACTCTTTTCCACTGCTTGATTCCCACTCTTTCCCGGTACCTACGCTTTTTCCAGCAACCAGAAGAGAATAAGGGCTTAATAAAGGTCATTTTTATCACATTGGTTTCTATGGTGATTATTTTTTTTCTTTCCAGAGATTGCAGGTATGTTTTGCTTTCCTTACCTCGGTCATTTTTCATTTTGTTTTTCATACCGAAGTTCTCTGCTCTGTTTTTTTTCCCACAGGGCTGATCCAAAACCCTTGTCTGTTAGAGGCGTGAAGGTGTTAAAAGGCACTAAAGTCTAACTTCCAAAAAAGGTAAAATCATGACTCTCATGCACATATAAAATGAACACATGCCAAAGATTTTATCCAACTCATTAATTAATGTGGAAACCAGAGGGATATTAAGACTGGCTTGGAAGCATGTGAGGAGCAAGCTATAGACAGGCAATTTAATAAAGGACTGTTAGGAGGAAATGTCTGGCTTAGATACAAAATTCTTCTACGGGGGGAAAAAAACTATAACCTTTGGGCTTTTCTGTTCTACTGGAGAATCATTTATTTGCTGCTCTACTGAACAAAGTTCTTTAGCTTTCCATGTAACTTCACCAGCTCTCTGACTTTAACCTATGATAATATAAGCAAACAGGTTTCACTGCCCGCAGACACTCCTTGGATAAGTCCTCTTCTCACACTATTAAAAGGATGAGGCACCTTTTTGGTTTGTCTCCAAGTTTTGTATAATTTTTCTTACTGACTGGATGTATGTGACTGGGTGGAGGATGTGTATCATTTTGAGCAGCTATAAATTGAGACTTTTAAAAAATTTATTATTATTACTTTTGTGTGTGTGTGTATGTGGTGCTGGGGATCGAACCCAGGGCCTTATGCACGCAAGGCAAGAGCTCTACCACTGAGCCACATCCCCAGCCAAATTGAGACTTCTTAAAAGAAGACATTCTTAAGACTAATTTTTAAAAAACATTTCTTAAGTGTATCAGATACCCAAAGAGTTGACCCTACAGCAACTACGCAAAGAAGAAAAGGAAGACTCTTTTTTTATATTTAGATAGTTTGACATGCCGCTGTCAAAGGATGAGGGAATTCTGATGAGTGCTAGCGTAATAGAAGTATATAATTGCACTGTAAACTTGGAGTATGTTGGAAGTTAATAAAGCATGTTTGCACACAGTAATAAAAATATTTTGTGTATGAGATAAAAATTTTATGGAACAAAATGAAACAGCAATAAACAAATTGCTGAACTATCTGAATCATGCAAAATAACATTTAAAATCATTTAAAGAGGTAAAAATATGTATGTTTTTTATATCTGCTTATTCTGTTTTCAAAGCCAGGTGTTAGGAAAACGTCAAAGAGAGATGCACTGTTCATTTCACATTAAAAAGCTCTTTAAGCTCTTTTAGAAGACCTGCAATAATGAAGAACGAGTAATAAGCTCACAAAAGGCTCTTCTAATGAATTAGTCAATTTTAATACTGTGCAGAAGTCCCCGTAAGAACACTGTTCTATCTTTTTTCCTGCAAAGCTTAGCGCTCTCTCTTGACAACCTCTCTAAGACATTTTAAGTTTTTTTTTTAAAGAAAGAGAGTATTTCATTTATTAAAGACAGAGTTGTGCTAAATTAAAATCAATCATCATAATAATTTCCTCTGCCTTAATGCATACTGGCTGCGTCAAAGACAATCACAAAACCTAGCTTCCATTTTTGTTATGAAAAATCATCTGTACTGTTAATGTAGTGATTTAGGTTTGGTGGTTCACGTTTATCTGGCAGTTTAGATGCCATTATGGTGCATTTTACCTTAAATCCTCCCAAACTAGAATAGTAACCAAATCATATATTTCTATCTCAAACTTCTATTACCTCCTTTCTCTTCCACAGAATCTCTACTATCATAACCACTGGGATTTTAATAGATCTTATCTAGAAATTGACTTATTTTGATCAGCAAGATCTAAATGAGCAGGAAATTTTTTTGGCATGACAGCTATATCCTTCTATAGCCTGCAGTAGTTTAATTATTTGCCCAAATGGCAGTAGTCTACTTTATCCTTCCTACAATATTTATCAAGCCCTGAATTTATGGGAGGCACAGTTCCAGGGATGGAATGGTAAGCAAGACAAAGTTACTTTCCATGACTAGTAGAAAAAAATGGATAATAAATAAACAAATCAATATCCTGTTCATGAAATTGTGCCTATAAATGCGTGGATAGAGCATATTTAATTTAGAATTATGTGTGACACATTAGTGGTGTCTACTGTATTTTTTGTTTGTTTGTTTGTTTTGTTTTTTTTGGTTTTGGTTTTTCTCCGGTACCGGGAACTGAACTCACGACCTTGCGCTTGCCAGGCAGGCATTTTTGCCGCTGAGCTAAATCCCCAGCCCCTATGGTGTCTACTGTAGAATGGGAGACAGGGCTGGGGTGTCGGTAAAGATCTCGGCAAGGCCCTGGATTTGATCCTCAGCACCGATGGAAAAAAAAAAGAAAAAGAAAAAGAAAAAAAAAATAGAGATGGGAATTTTGCTGTTCTGCAGGATAACCAAATACAGGATCAGGCTAAAAAAAAAAAAAAAAAAAAAAACCCTATCAGATTTCCTTCTTTCTTAGCCTGGACCCTGGCTCGAGCTCATCTTTCCCTGGCAAACTGAACTTTCAAAGAAACCCACTCCTGTTGAGGTACAAGTAAGTGGAAAGGCTACTCTACCTATCTTCCACCAAGTTTTTCACTGTTTTGTTTTGTTTTGTTTTGTTTGTTTGTTTTGTCTTTTTTGAGACAAGGTCTCACTGTGCAGTTCAGGCTGGCCTTGAGCTCACTTTGTAAACCAGGCTGGTCTCGAACTCGCAACGATCCTCCTGCCTCAGCCTCAAATTTTTCATTGCATAAAAGATTGAGCCTGCGCCCTCGCAGAATTTATCTTTGTGCAAACCCAGACTGCTACGTGACCCACACTCTTCTTGCTATGCTGTTCAACCTGGATTTATGGTGTCACAAACTGCTAATCCTAATACTTTGCCTTGCAAGACTTATCTCAAAATTACCCATCCCAGGCCTCAAAATGCTGTCACTCTCTTCTGCTCGCTTCTCATTTTGAGACCCCTCGAAGATTCTGTCGGAGTATTGCTTTTTCTCACTGCAGCGAGTCAATTTAGCTTTGCTCATTTTGAGTTTATGGTATTCATGGTGGTTCTAGTGGGTAGAATAGTGGCCTGTAAAACAATATGGCCAAGTCCTAAGTCCTAACTTCCCCGCCAGGACCTGTCACTGTCATCTTATTTGTAAAAGCGTCTTTGCAGATATAACTGAGGCTCTTGAGATTATTCTAGATTTAGGGTGAGCCTTAAATCCAATGCCATGTGTTCTGATAAGAGAAAGGTAGAGGGAGATTACAGACACAGAAGAAAAGGTGACATGAAGACACAGGCCCAGTACGGAGTAATGCATGTCCAAACCAAGGCACCCCAAGATTTGGGAGCAACCTCCAGAAGCGAGGGGGGAGAGGCATGGACTCTAGTATCCCTTAGAACCTCCAGAAAGAACCAGCTCAGCTCATTCACTTTTGTTCTGACTTCTGGCCTCCAGAACTGTGAGAAAATAAATGTCTGTTGCCTTAGGCTACCCAGTTACAGTGTGTGACAGCAGCCCTAGAGGTCTAATGCCGTGGTCTTCTAGGGAATTGACTGATTCAAGTAACATATGCAGAACCTCGCTTGCAGCGGAGGTGAGAGGCTTGTGTTTGGCGTGATGAATGTCGGAGATGATCATGCTCACGGTGAAGATGAGGGTGCTGTGACTGTGACGATAACTATAAAACAGCCATCTAAGCCCAACTTCCACTTTCTTCTGCCATTACTACTTCACTGTACATTTCTGCTCATCTCCATCCAGATAAAGGCGGCCAAGAACATCTTGGTTCCAAGCAAAGACAACAGCAAAATGAACTCCAGACCAGTGCTTCTCAGATTTGATTGCACAAAAGCATCCCTTACAGATCTTCTTCAAGTGCAGATCTTCATTCAGGAAGTCTTCAGGAGAGCTGAGATTCTGTGGGTCTAACAAGCCCCCCCCCCCCCACTGCTGCTGGTGGCCTAAGGACACACAATTTGAATAACAAGGGGCAGAGCAGGGTTTGGCTAAATTTATCTGGAAAGGATTAGATAACATATACTTAGGCTTTGAGGATGTATTATTTTCCTATTGGCGCTATAATAAATTGCTACAAACTTAATGACTTAAAACAACTGTTTATAACCTCAGGTTTCTTTGGTCAGAAATCCAGCACTGTGAGGCTCAGCTTGTTCGCGTGTAAACAAAACAAAACAAAATCCAAGCATTGGTGGGACCCTGTTCCTGGGGGCTCTGGGGAAGGCAGTCTGCTCCCAAGGTCATTCAAATTGCGGGCAGAATCCAATCCAGTGTGGTTAGAGGCCCCCAATCCCTTGTGGACTCTCAGCATCTGTCAGCACTGTAAGGCAACCTGCATTCCTTGTCACACTGTCAGTTCACCTCCAAACCAGCAACAGCATATCATCAAATCCTTCTCATGCTTTGGGCCTCTCTGAATTCCCTTTTCTCATCCTGGCCCTCACTGGAGAAAGTTTTCTGCTTTTAAGAGCAGATTAGAGCTGGGCATGGTGGCACACGCCTATAATTCCAGCACTCAGGAGGCTGAGGCAGAAAGATCGCTGAGAGTTCAGCGGTGAGCCTGGGATACAAAATGAGTTCAAGGCTAGCCTGAACTGCATAGTGAAACTTTGTCTCAAAAACAACAACAACAACAAAAAAAGCAGATTAGATTGGCTTTATCTGGATAATCCAGGATAATTTCCTTATCTCAAACTCTATAACTTTTTTTGGAGACAGAGTCTTGCTCTGCAGTTCAGGCTGGCCTCAAACTCATAGCAATCCTCCTGCCTCAGCCTCCCGAGTTCTGGGATTCTAGGCGTGCCCCACCGTGCCCGGCCTTCCACAACCCCCACAACCCAAAATCCTCCTTGCCCTGTAAGGTAAAGAAAGCAGTGTAAGTTGGGACATAAGACCGTGGGGAACAGTTATCCCGCCTACCACAGGGGTCATATGGTCTCTGTTGTACCTACTCAGTGGAGTCCTCAGAGCATCAAAGCCGAGCTAGAAAATATGTAAATAAGTGAGGCAGGCTGTGTTCCAGTAAAACTTCCCTTACAGATGCTGAAATTTGAATTTTACAAAATGAAATTTTGTGTGAAATTTTACATGTCACAAAATAATACTCTTTTTCATTTAAAAAAGTACAAAATCAAACAGTGGGCGAGGCCTCTAGACTACTGGGCAGATCTCTAATCTAGATCTTAATTCCTCTTATCTCAGACTGGAAGTCTGAAAAGGGCAAGAATATTTTCTCTGCCTCTTGCTGCACTGTGGGTGCTTCCTAAATGGCCAAGCCTTTGACCAAAGTCTTTACCCATAGGGAGATTCCAGATGCCAAAGTGATGTTTATGGGAAAGGGGAAATAAAAAATATTCTCAGAAAATTTCTTACATAAGATCAAAGATGTGCTATATTTAAGAAAATGGGTTTTAAACAGGAAGAAATGCAGTTCTTAAATCATTTGCATTTTATTATGAGCTTTAATGGCATCTTTGGATAGGTAGACACAAATAATGTTAGAGATGATCTGGTCTTGTGTTTCAGGAGGTTAAAGGATAACCCGATACGATATTGGAGTTTTGTTTTGCTTTGTTGCCTGTGTACCGGCCTACCTAAAATATTGTAGATTTATTTATAGTCTTTTAAAATAGTAGGCCTTGGGGCAGGACTTCTATGCTAAGTAAATGGGTTATTTGATTAGATGTGTGGCAAAGCCCGTTTGCTCATATACACAAGGTATTAAAATTATTATGCACCATAAAATAATTGCATAATGAGGCATAATCTGGAGGATTTGCAATGTAGGAAAGGTAGAGTTGGAACTTACAACAATGATTTTCCAATTTCTCAAATCTATGTCTTAGGAAAAATGAAATTTTGGTTTCATATTATAGCCATTCCAAATCTAACAAACCGTATTTTCAGTCATGCTCTCCAGAGAGGGGTTCGGAGAGTTGGATTCATATACAAGTGATTTATTAAGGAAATGCCATCGGAGCCCGGGCATGGTAGCACACGCCTGTAATCCCAGCACTTGGGAGGCTGAGGCAGGAGGATCGGTGTAAATTCGAGGTCAGTCTGAGCTACAAAGTGAGCTCAAGTCCAGCCTGAACTGCATAATGAGACCCTGTCTCAAAAAGACCAAAAAAAAAAAAAAAAAAAAAAGTAAATAAAGGTAAGACATGGGAAAGGAGGAAGCAAAGCAGGGGTACAATTTCAAGCAAAGTCCCAGCCTCAGCCTGATAATGTGGAGCGCGCTGGAGCATAACACCGTCAAGTTTATTCAGAACCGATGCCAAGAGCATGGAGGTCATTGTCCTGCACTAGTCAGTTATTGCCTAAGGCTGCCCTCAGGGAAAGTAAAGTCTCAGGCATTTTTGGCTCTGTCTTGGGCAGAATACAACATAGCTGAGGAGCTCCAAAGAGTGTCACAGGTGAAGGCAAAGCACGCAGACTTTGGTGAGTATGTGAGAGGGGTCACAGAACATGTAAAAGGGAACCGAGGGCATTTGTGCAGGCCAGCTACATTATGCATATATAAGTGCATGGGGATTTGATTTTCTGGAAGAAAAAGAAATGACCCTCACTCTCTGTCTTTATTTCTCTCTCTGTCTGTCCTGAAAAATGACAATGTCTTTTTTCTTTTCTTTTTTTTTTTTTTTTTGTCTTTTTTGAGACAGGGTCTCGCTATGCAGTTCAGGCTGGCCTTGAGCTCACTTTGTAGCCCAGGCTGGTCTCGAACTCGCAACGATCCTCCTGCCTCAGCCTCCTGAGTGCTGAGATTACAGGCGTGCGCCACCACACTGGGCTGACAATGTCTTTTGATGCCTGTGGCTCATGTTATCACAGTTAGAAGAAAAAGGATTCTCAGTGTTAGAAAGTTGCCTCTGGAATTCATAATTACAGATAGGTCAAAAAGAAAGCAGTTTCTTTCAGTTTGAGTTTGTTTTATCATTTTCGGTTTGTTCTGTGTATTTATTTCTTTTTGTGAGCCAGTTACTGAAGAAAAGTATTTATTTTTAAATTTAATTTTTGGAATAGGTAATATATTCATATGATTCAAAACCTTGAAAATACAATAGGCTATACAGTAAAAACGCCTTGCTAATCCTTGCCCTCCATCTGCCGACATGACCCTTCCTATTTTCCTTAGTTTGTATGTGGACGGACAAGACAATGTGAAGCCAGACGTGGCGGCAAACAGAAAAAGAAAGACAGGAGGAAAGGAAGGAAATGTGAGTGCAGACCTTTAATTCTACCCAAAGATGGAGCATTATGTTATAAAAGCAGTTCTGCATAAAAACGACATATTCTGCATATATAAACTGCTATTTCCACTTTACTTTTGAGCTCTTTCTAAATCAACATATAGAGAGGGTTTCCGCCTCATTTTTTAACATCTGCATGGCATTCCATCGGGTAGATAAACATTTATTTTACCTGTTTCCTGTTTGCATTGTTTTCATTTTTTTGTAGTTATAAACAGTGCTGTGCTGAGTAATCTTGTACTTATATCGTTTTGCATACTTATGAGAATATTAGTCCATTTTCTGTTGCCAATAAGTCAATACCACAGTCTGGGTGAGTTACAAAGAAAAGAGGTTTATTTTGACTGGAAGTCAAAGGGTAACAGGGCCTGCTGTCAGAGTAGTGAGGCAGCACTG